CATCTATGCGAGGGAGAGGATACTTGTTCTTAAAAGTAACCTTATTCAACTGGCGGTAATCAGTGCACAATCTCATGCTACCGTCCTTCTTCTTGACAAATATAACTGGTGCTCCCCACGGGGACACACTTGGCCTGATAAACTGCTTAGCCGAAAGCTCCTTGATAACTCATATTTTATTACACTTATTTGTTACTCTTGATTAGTATTTTTAGGATTTATTTGAATAAAATAATGATGTTTTGAGTTAATTTACATTTTTAGTTTTTGATTGGGTTTAATTTATTTTCGTCAGAATTTTTCAGCTTTACGTTACTTCTTTATTTTGGCCATATCTTGGTCCACAGTTGTCGGATTGACTCCGTTCTTGTTGAGTTTTTCAGATAACACAGAGGGCTACAATTCTTATGCAGAGCTCGAAGCCCAATTCAGATTGAAAGCTAGTCGATTTCTTGCACCAAGTCGGACACGTTATGCTGAAGTTTTATTTTATTTATTTTATTTCGTATTTTAGACATATGGGCCGGTCAGAACTAAACCCTAACCCACTTTGGGTAGGGATATATGACGGCAGAGTAGTAAACATTGGATTCATTCTGTAATTTTTGAAATTGAGGATCAAAGTATTTTCTCTGTCGCGTTCTTCGCGTTCTTCATCTTTTTCTTCTTCTTCTTTTTATTTTAATCATGTTTACATTAGCCATGCGAGGCTAAGAACCTTTTAATCAACCTAAGGGTAACGGATTCCATGGATTGGTCTTGAGGGTCTGCGCTTTATTTTAAATCAGTCTTGTTTCCCTTCCCAACTCAGATTGATATCGTGCGATCGTGGATATTCAATCTGAGGTTCGCGATTGCGATTATGGAAAGGGATTAATCATCAGATTTGATGATTAGGTTGATTGACCCTATGACCTTAAATCAAGCGGGCTGATACTCTGCGATTGTATGAGTAGAAACACCGTATTTGATCAAATGCTAAGCGATTGCTTAGAGAGGATTGTCAATTGGAAATAAGGATTCTGATTCGATTGACAAATCAATCACGATTCTAATATCTTCTTATCCGAGGAAAGACATCCATGGAACCATTACCTTAGGTTGGTTATTTTTAATTACGAATTTTAAATCCAATTTCTTATTCTGCCTTTTAAATTATTCAACCAAAAATCAAAAACCCCCCCTTTTAATTTCTGTTTTGATAAACAATTTTTACCTAAGCAATTTCCTTGAGAGAGACGACTTAGGGTTTCCACTCTACTACAAATTTTCAGAACCCTAATAAAAAAAAATTTAATTTGCGCGAGTTCGACAGCTCGTGTCAAATTTGGCGCCGTTGCCCGGGAGATTGCATTGGTCTAAATCGTTTTCTGAATTTGATCATCATCTTCTTCTTCTCTAGTTTTCGTTTCTGTTTCTGAAAAAAAAAACCGTAAATTTCTGTTTGCGGACGTGTCTTGTTTTTGCTTTTTGCACTCGATTGCGTTTCTTATTCCCATTTCTGCACCTTTGATTCTGCATCGGAATTTGATTCTGGAGAGGCATCTTTTCTCAGTTTTTGAATTTTTTGCATTACGGTTTACGTTTTGGGCAATTTTGGGCGAATTTGGGGAAATTGGTAAAACTTCAGTTTGAGATATTGGCTCCGGAAGTTCTATCCCGAAAGGAATTCGACCTTCTGAGCATAAGTCACACCCTAAAAGGGTGTGAGGTGATCCTTAATTTTGCCAAATTCTATTGTTTACTAACCCGTTTTGGTGTTTCTTTTTCGTTTCAGGACGTGTCGGGTACTTCTGGATTTGTTCGACTTACTTTGATCGATCTGAAAATTGGTAAAATGAAGAAGACAATCATTCCTGTCAAAAGTCGTGGGGCTTTGCCCCACGAATCAAGCGCTAGTTTTGCCGAATTCGTTCGTTTGGTATTTTATTTTACCGAATTCGTCCGTAGGGTCATTTAGAGTTTAGGAGAGTTGGTCTCATATCATTCTGTGTTCATTTAGTATTTTTCATAGATTTATTTTTGCTTCTGTTTGCTATGAATCCAATTTTTCACCCTACAGTTGCTTGTCCTTCCTTTCCAGATAGCGGTTTCCAAGTTGATCAGTCTGTTGCTGCAATTTTTTCTGGAAAGCCACAGTACCAGCAGCAGCAACAGCAAAACAATCCCTTCTCCAATACATATAATCCTGGTTGGAAAAATCATCCCAATCTCAAATGGAGCCAGAATCAGCAAAGTGCACCATTCCAGCAGAATCAGCAAAGTGCACCATTCCAGCAGAGGCAGCAATTTGTACCTTCACAACAGATACAAAATTTTCAACAATTTGCACCTCCACAGCCAATGCAGCAGCAGCAAATGCAACAGCCACCAGTGCAGCAGCAAGCTAGTAGCAATGGCCCTTCTTTGGAGGATTTAGTGAAGCAGATGGCAACTAACAATCTACTGTTCCAGCAGATTACTGAGTCTTCCCTTCAAAATTTGCAAACACAGATTGGCCAACTTGCAACGTCAATGAGTCAAAATCAACAAACAAGTGGTAGCTCCCTTCCATCCCAAACAGTTCCAAATCCAAAAGGAAGCGAAAATGTGAGTGCTATTACTCTGCGGTCTGGCAAACATATGGAGGAGCCAAACCACACTGCTGCTGAGTCATCTAAGGGAAGTGACACTAGCTCCAAGAAGCAGAGCACTGATACATCTGAGCATTCTGTTTTCTGCATTGATGTGATAGACGAAGTTGTTGAGGATGTTTCTGCTGAATTCCTTGCTGATTTTTCCTGATTTTTCATCTACTGATTCTGATTTCTGTGGTTGTGGTGATAGTCAAGAGTGCATTGTGTGTGCTGAAATAGCATCTCATCTTTCTGGTTTCAATGATGCACTGATTGATGATTCTGATTCTGAGTGTGAATCTGCATTTTCTGAATTGCCTGCTAATATTATTGATGATCCTAATTTTGTTTCTGAGAATTTGTTTACAGGCATTGCTGCTGACTTGTTTTCTGCAGAATTTGCACCACCAACTACACCTCTTCCATCCATTGAGCAGCCTCCGAAATTGGAGTTGAAGGTTCTGCCCGACCACTTGAAATATGCATTTCTTAAAGAGAATGAGCAACTACCAGTCATTGTGGGAAAGAACCTTCTACCTGAGCAGGAAGATAAATTGTTAACCCTGCTGAAAGCAAATAAGAAGGCAATTGGGTGGACAATGGCTGACATTATTGGCATTAGCCCTTCCATATGCATGCACCGCATTTTGCTTGAAGAAAGTGTTAAACCACTGAAGAAGAAATCAAGCTACTTGATGTTGTTTATTCTCCTTAGGGAGTTCAGAGAGTTCTCTTCTTTTATTTTTCTTTTCTTTCTGTTATTTGCATTTTTATTTTTATTTTCCTTTCTTTCTTTTAGTTTTTGATTTTTCGTAGGTAGATTTTCCTTTTCTTTCTGGTAATTATTAAGTGGTACATGGATATACTTAAATCACAGGGTTTAATAGAAATTTCTGCTTAGGCTTGGTTCTTGATTCTTGAATTGCATTACTTGCTGCTTGATACTGTGCTGCTGATTGCATGATTTGGTATACCCTTGTGAGGTTTTTGAGCCTGTCGACATGGTCTTAATCTGTAGGCCAGTTTTTCTTTCTTGTGTGATTCTGCTCTTGATTGTTGTCCTCTAGAACTTGCTCTGATTCTTTTTGAAACTGCATTTTTCACTTGCATGCATGAATATGATTGAGGCATTCTTTCTTTCTTTACCCACTTTAGCCAGATAGCCATCCCTTATATTATTATCCCTTGGTGAGCCTTTTTGAGCCTTTATATCCGTTATTTCTTAAGCCGCATTACAAGCCTAAGTGAAAAACCAATTAATTCCACACCCTAAAGTTTTACTGAGCATTGGTTTCATTGTGATGTTGTGTTTAAGTGTGGGGGTTTTCCCGAGACGGACAAAAGTTTAAGTGTGGGGGGTGACATATGTGGTTGTACTTCAAAAAAAAAAAGTGTTAATTTTTTTAGTATCTTTGTTTAGTTCTTAACTTTTGCTCTTTGTAAATTTTTGGGGTGTTTTAGCTTTCTCTTCCATATTCATCCATACCTTTACCTCAGCCCCATTACAACCATACATAAAGCGCTATTGATTTGTGCATGCATGTGTTATTAGCAGTGGAGAAGTAGAACTTGAGCAAGCCTATGGTAGGATGATTTTCTTGAGTTGATTTGAGTGATATACTGAATTAACTGATACAGTTGAGAGAAAAACTGAGAGCATCCTGTGAGGAACCATTTTTTTTTAATTTTTTCTTTTTGTAATAAAGAGGGGCAAAAGCCCTAAACAAAACAAAAATTACACGACGCGAGAACTTAAAAGATCTACAGAAGCATCCTGAAGAAGGAGCTCTAACAAAGGAGAAGGAGGAGAATGATAAACAATAAGATTATTATCATCCTCAAAATGCCTAGAAGCAAACCAGTGAGCACATCTGTTATTTTCTCGAAAGGTGTGTATAATGACCCTCACATTTATTATGGATTTAATATTGAAGGATAATTACAAAGAAAAAGAAATAAAGTCACTTTTGGTGAGCAATGAGTTAAAATGACAGTTAAGAGGTAAAAAATGCGGGTAAATAAAGTTATCTAAAAGTGAAAGTAAAAATAGATTCGTGACTAGAAAAAATATTCTAGTCTATTGGTTAAAGTTTGGTAATGAATGAAGGTGTGTAGATAGATGAGCTTATACCCGCTAGTATAATGAATTTATATAAGTGACTCAAGTGAGTCACTGTTCCCTTCTCTTTACGGACGCGAGACAGAGAGAACGAAGGAAAGAAAATGAAAATGGAGATTTTGATTAAAATTCTTCCAAAATTCATAACTTGAGCTAGAGACCTCCAAATCACTTCGTTCCAAAGCCAAACCTGTGAGAAATTTCGAGAGGAATCTATTGGTACCAGTATTTCTGAGTGGGGTTCACTGTAGAGAGAGTTCTTCTCCCCAAAGAATTCGAATTTCATGGAAAATATGGGTTTTGATGGAGCTTGAAGCCATGGGAGCTTGAAGCAAGCTTCTCCCTTCATTCTAGGTAAGTTCATGTTAAGAAATCTTTGTTTTCTTTGAGTTTTGAGAAAGATTGAATATAGGTTTTCATTTTAAAAATTTGAATTGATTGAGCATGTTAGAGCTTAATTCAGGTTTAGCTCATGTTGAGAAAAGTGTTTAGATGAGAATTTTAACGGTGAAAATGTATTTTGGAAAATTAAAAATACTGTATTTTTGAATAGTGTCGTATACGTGAATAGTGACACATACATGAATAGTATTGTAGAGTTGAACAATGTCGTATATATCAATTAACGAATCTTGGATTAGAGGTGTGTGATAAGCTTGAATTTGATGGAGTAAAGCATTGAAATCATGAAGTTGGCATGATTTCCTTTATGTGCCTCTTAGCCATTTTCAAAGGAAGTATGTGCTATTAGTTACTGTTTTACAAAGCGAGCATACTTTTATGCGTGGAATGATATTCTAAGGTGTATGGACCTTCGCTTTGGTGAAATAAAAAAGAAAATAAGGTAGCTCTTTTATATGGCCTTAAAATGAGTTTTGGCCATTTTCAAATGAGGTATATGTTCGAAGATATTGTTTCGCAAAGTGAGGACACTTATATGCGTAAAATAATTTATATAGGTGGCTAAGCTTGGGTTTAGGCACTAGACAAAGAGAAATCTTATAGCTCCTTTGTAATGGGCATTCGGCCTTAAATTGGGAAAAATAGACTTTTAGGTGCTAAGAGGAGTAATGAGTGTTCTAAAGGCCTTTTGGGACTATCCTAAGACTAAGTGAATATGTGGAATTTTGTGGGGATTTGTTGAACAAAGAACCACCCACTCATGACTTAATATGATTAAGTAAAAAGAAAATAAACAATAAAGTGTGTGTCTTGTATATTTACATGGCATTATATCATTTTATTGAGTTTTATGTTGAATTCCTTCTCTAGGTGTACCTAGGGACTGTGAACGTTTGGATTCTCGTGGAGTATGATAAGTAGCTTGTTCTTCAAGTAAGCAGATTGTAAAGCTCAAAGAGGTAAGCTCTATGTTTATGGGTTCGCTCCTACTTTGTGTTCCGCCATAGTGTACGGACTGTGGTCAGGTTGTATGATATGTATGAGATATATGATATAGATGCATTCTTATAGAGCTATATGATAATATGATATGTTTTGTTTTGATGTATTTACTTTGATATGTGTTAATATGATATGTTTTGTTATGATATGACTTCTGTAATATGATTTCTGTAACAATATCTGGCCATTGATTGTATAGTACCCGGATGTTCGCTTTGGGGTCCTCCCTCGGGAATGACTGCGTACGCCTCTGATATGTTCTGGTTTCGCTTTGGGGTCCTCCCTCGGGAACACGTGCGTTGATTTCCGCTTGGGGTCCTCCCTTGGGAATGACTGCGTACGGCTCTGATATGTTCTGGTTCCGCTTTGGGGTCCTCCCTCGGGAACACGTGCGTTGATTTCCGCTTGGGGTCCTCCCTTGGGAATGACTGCGTACGCCTCTGATATGTTCTGGTTCCGCTTTGGGGTCCTCCCTCGGGAACACGTGCGTTGATTTCCGCTTGGGGTCCTCCCTTGGGAATGACTGCGTACGCCTCTGATATGTTCTGGTTCCGCTTTGGGGTCCTCCCTCGGGAACACGTGTGTTGATTTCCGCTTGGGGTCCTCCCTTGGGAATGACTGCGTACGCCTCTGATATGTTCTGGTTCTGCTTGGGGTCCTCCCTTGGGAACAGGTGCGTTGATTTCCGCTTGGGGTCCTTCCTTGGGAATATCTGCGTACGTTTCTGATAAGATATGTGTATATGTTTTGTTTAGTTATGATATTTGATTATATGACATGTTTTATGGGATATGTATGATGATTTTGTAAATGATATTTGTTACGTACGTTGATTTCCGCTTGGGGTTATCCCTTGGGAACGATTGCGTACATCTTTGATATAACACGTTTTGTTCTGATGTGAGTATTGTGATGATTTTTGTAAAAGATATTTGTTATGTGCGTTGATTTTCGCTTGGGGTCATCCCTTGGGAATGACTGCGTTTGTCTTTGATAAGATATGTATATATGCTTTGTTCAGTTATGATAATTGCTTATATGATGTTTTGTATATTATGTATCTGACTGTCATGCAGGAAGTGAGCCCAGGGTATGGAGGGTTTTCCATAAACCTGGAGTTTACTAGAGATTCGTCTCTAACCCCGTTTGGGGATATGATTTCAGGAACACAGTTAATTGAAGAGCCTCATGGGACAAGGACACTAACCGTGGCTAGAGGTACTAGTATGAAGATGTGGAGTTCTGGGTGGTTGGATGCTACTATTTGTTTTAGACGTATTTTTGGAAAAGATGTATTGTTGCATAGTGTTCATATTCGATACATGTACATTTATGTATTCAGGCATGATGATATGACTATGTAGTATTCAGTTATGTTATGTATTGGATTGCATGCTATTAGATTTGTGGCACGGAGCCAAGTTCAGCATGCGCCCATAGATGGGTATCTGAGTATATTTGCATGACTGGTACTTCTGGAAATATATATTGTTTAAACTGTCTATCAGGAACTCTTGAGAGTGGGATTGGAAAATCCCCAGTTGTCCGATTTACAGAGGTTACTCTGTCCGATTTTCGTCTCCGTAAAATAAGAATTAAATTAGAAGAAGTATGCAATGTGATATGTCATGTGAAAAGGATTAAAGAAAAAGGAAAAAGTTAGTTCGTATTTTCGTAAGTTAAGTCTTCCGCTGTTTCTGTTTGTATCATATGTATGTTAATTGAACCGGCTCGAGACGGGGATGTTACAGTGTGGACCCAACGAACATCCCAATCTTCAGCAAGCCATTTGTGAATACGGGAAACAACCTGAGAGTTTCTGTGATTGTTGCTCCCTTCTTGGATAGTGCTAAGAGAAATTTCTGAGTCACATTCCAACTCCACTCTCCTAGCACCAGTACCCCAGGCCAGCTCTAAACCTTTGAGGATACCCCAGAGTTCTGCATCAAGAGGATTACAGAAACCTAATCTGAAAGAGAAACCACCCAGAAAAGCACCATTGTGATCTCTAGCAAGGCCTCCACAGCTAGCATGTTGCCTAGATAGGGAAGAAGCACTATCTGTGTTAATCTTCAACCGACCAGGTTCAGGACGACACCATTTAGTAGGCTGATGTGAGGAACCATTTTTGTGTAGTTAGCAGTTGCAGTTGAAATTGACAGGTCTTATGATTTGATATTAAGGAATTTTTGTCCTGGTAGTTTTATCTGTTCAAGACTTGTGATGTTTGTTATCTTTTGTATACTTGCTAATTATTAGGAAGGATAGGTTGATCTTCACTCTTCTCTTATTTCTTTGCTTTCTTTTGCTATTCTAGTTTTTGCCCAGGAGTGCAAAAAGATAAGTGTGGGGGAATTTGATAACTCATATTTTATTACACTTATTTGTTACTCTTGATTAGTATTTTTAGGATTTATTTGAATAAAATAATGATGTTTTGAGTTAATTTACATTTTTTAGTTTTTGATTGGGTTTAATTTATTTTCGTCAGAATTTTTCAGCTTTACGTTACTTCTGTATTTTGGCCATATCTTGGTCCACAGTTGTCGGATTGACTCCGTTCTTGTTGGGTTTTTAAGATAACACAGAGGGCTACAATTCTTATGTGAGCTTCAAGCCCAATTCAGATTGAAAGATAGTCAATTTCTTGCGCCAAGTCGAACACGTTTTGCTGAAGTTTTATTTTATTTATTTTAGTTCGTATTTTAGACATATGGGCCGGTCAGAACTAAACCCTAACCCGCTTTGGGTAGGGATATATGAAGGAAGAGTAGTAAACATAGGATTCATTCTGTAATTTTCGAAATTGAGGATCAAAGTATTTTCTCTGAAGCGTTCTTCGTGTTCTTCATCTTTTTCTTCTTCTTCTTTTTATTTTAATCATGTTTACCTTAGCCATGCGAGGCTAAGAACCTTTTAATCAACCTAAGGGTAACGGATTCCATGGATTGGTCTTGAGGGTCTGCGCTTTATTTTAAATCAGTCTTGTTTCCCTTCCCAACTCAGATTGATATCGTGCGATCGTGGATATTCAATCTGAGGTTCGCGATTGCGATTATGGAAAGGGATTAATCATCAGATTTGATGATTAGGTTGATTGACCCTATGACCTTAAATCAAGCAGGCTGATACTCTACGATTGTATGAGTAGAAGCACCGTATTTGATCAAATGCTAAGCGATCGCTTAGAGAGGGTTGTCAATTGGAAATAAGGATTATGATTCGATTGACAAATCAATCACGATTCTGATATCTTCTTATCCTAGGAAAGACATCCATGGAACCCAAACCTTAGGTTGGTTATTTTTAATTACGAATTTTAAATCCAATTTCATATTCTGCCTTTTAAATCATTCAACCAAAATTCAAAAAAACCCCTTTTAATTTATGTTTTGATAAACGATTTTTACCCAAGAAATTTCCTTGAGAGAGACGACTTAGGGTTTCCACTCTACTACAAATTTTCTGAACCCTAATAAAAAAAAATTTAATTTGCGCGAGTTCGACAGCTCGTGTCACTCCTCGATATGCTTCTTTAACTCGGCTAATTCCAGTGGTGACATCCGATATGAAGCCAAAGAAATAGGCCCCACACCAGGCAACAAATAAATCGTGAACTCAATATCTCTATGAGGTGGAAGTTACAGAATCTCATCCGGAAAAACATCCACAAACTCCTTCACCACGGGAATAGTGTCGATCTCCTCATGACTTCCTCCCACTAAACCCCCCACAAAGACATATCCCAATGCCCCGGCCCTCAAAGCCTTTCTAACCTGCAACACAGATAGATATGAGGAACAACTAGTAGTAGAATCATCAGCAGAAAGCACAACCCTTTTTCCACAGCAGTCTATAATAGCACAATTCTTCGATAACCAATCCATTCCCAAGATAACTTGAAGACTAAACATAGGCAAACAAATAAAATCCAGCACGTAATCTCGGCCTTCATATTTAAATTCAACATCCTTGCATAATACTGATGTATAACACTTCTCTCCAGTAGCAGTCACCACTTTCATTGGAGGAGAAATGTCGTACATACGTTAATTTAGCCCAACGACCATAAAATCATACATACAGGAGTGTGTAGCTCCTGAGTTAAACAAGACTTTGTTAGTATTTGGGTGTCCTAGAGACAATCTTATGATTAAATAAGGACAGAGATGTAGACCTTTTTAATATTGTCGCAAATAAATAAAAGCACTCTTTATCTTGTTTCATAATTATGTCTCGATATTAATATTAATATATTATGAATAACTTGATAAACCCCGTGGAATAAAATAGGTATCTCTTGAGTATCTGTGATGAGATCACAATCATGAGGATTCAAGAATACCGGATGTTTATTCCTAATTTTATGTTCCTAGTCTAGAGATACTGAGAATGGGGTCAGTAATCTCGGGTAAGACTAGCACGACTTATCTATTTGTATATGGATACAAGGTATAGACCTCATGTGCTACAGATATGGAGATGTCTTAGCTAAAGTCGTGGGTGGACCTATAAGGGTATAGCTCGCACTGAACGAACCCACAAAGAGACTCTATGAGGAACTCTCTCAGAGAGTATCATTAGAGTAGTCTCTTTATATTTGGGTATGTCTTTCCTAAGACCAGAAGTTATTACCTAGACTGTGTTCTAGAAGGCATGCTTTGATTGTGCACCTCGTCTGCCTGAAACATGGAGACTCATAGGTATACTGTTGGGCTTGTCCTGAAAGAACACAGGGCTAGGGTGATAAGCTGAAGGAATTCGTCAAATCTCTGTGAAAGATTAGGTTATCTGTAAACCGGAGAAATCGGGATGACATTTACAGGGACTCGAGAATCTATGCATAGTAAAAGAGATCATGAGATGATCTGCCTTTAGAGTCTGTAAATTGAAGATTCCCTATTTCGAATAAAGCTTACCCTAAACCGCAGGGGTTGATACGCTTCCTTACCCTAGGTTTTATGGGAAGGTAACCGAGACGAAAGGAAATATATACGGCAATCAAATATGTTTAATAGGATGATCAAATCATTAATCTAACTAGTTTTGGGGCAACAAAGCATTGCTAGTGCTTTGTGTTGTCATTAGATGGGTTGTGGGCTTATTGGGCCCAAACCCATTTATGTCAGTGGCTAAGTTGGACCTAATGGGTCACACACAAACACCTAATTGTCTAGATGCTCTAGCATTAAAGGTATTGGGCCTAATAATAGTTATTAGCCCAAGAAATTGTTTGGAACTCCACCTAAAGGGGTGGAGGGCGCATGGTTCATTGTAATGGGCTTGGATAGTCCAAGACATTACTAATTAATTTAATTAGTTAAATTAATTATCAAACATTTAAATTTTGAATTTTGGAATTCGAAATTTGAATTTCGAAATTCGAATTTTGAATTTGAAATTTGAAATTTGAAATTTGGATTTTGAATTCGAATTTTGAAATTTGAATTTTGAAATTTGAAAATTTGAATTTTGAATTTGAATTTTGAATTTGAATGTTTGAACATTTGAATTTGAATATTTGAATGTTTGAATTCAAATATTTGAATTTGAATTGCCTATGAAAGGTTGTTTCATAACAAAAGGATAAGATGAGATCTTGTTGGAACAAATCACTAGTATCATGAGAGAAATTTTTGGACAAGATCCAAGGCCATATATGGCGCTGATTTGGGTTGTTGGTGAGCAAGATTTGCTCATCAAAATCAGCTCCAGAAGATTCAGTCAGTTGGGAGAAAATCTGAGTGAGTTGATTCAAATTTGAATGCAACTACTCAGATGTATCTGGTCACCTTTTTGGGCTATATGGGGCGCACCATATAGCTGATCTTATGAAGATTTCTGATCAGAATTTTGAATAGGTTTTTGAACCAATTCTCAAGAGAATATTCTAGGAGACTGTTAGCAATTTTTGAAATAAAACAGCTCCACTTCTCTCTCTCCAATATGGCGCCTAATGATCAGATTTGTAGGAGAAAAATCTGATTGGTATTTTATTTTAAATACTCTCCTCTTATGCACCTATGTGGTAGTTGTTCCTCCAAGGGTTTTTCTGAAAACCTAGCATATTCTCTCCTCTCTCCTGCGCCACTTGTGAAGCTTTCACATTGAGAGCTTCACTTTTTCAAACACTTTCAGCTAGCCTCCATCTTCACACATAGAGTACCTAGCAAGCCTCTTTGTGGTGATCATCCGGTGGCTTCACAAGAAGGAGTTCTTGCACCTAGACG